CTGGAACCCGCTTGTTCACCTCACGCACACCCTTAAGGCCCCGCCTCTCACCCAGCAGGGCCCCCAACAAGCTCAGTTCCTCCCCACGGGATCCTTCTGGCCACTCCCTGCCTAAATCTGCCACCATGAGTGAGTCCGAGGATCTGCCCTCTCCAATTTTCTGCTTAGCATCACAAAAAAAAAAAAAAAAACCCCAGACATTTGCAAACAAGGCCACCACTATTCAGTGTTTTCCAACCTTGGTAGGGCTCTGACACTTAACTTTTTTAGAAAAATATGTCAGCTCCCTCCGTTTTCCCTCGAGGCTTTTGCCCAGGCCCTCCACCTGACCCTGAGCCCAGCCTTGCCCCTGACCCCGCCGCCAGGAACCTCCTCGGGCTCCTGCCCTCACCCAGCTGCCTGCAGGCTCGGGCCCCGGGGGTCCCTCCTTCCCCTGTCCGGGACTGAGCCCCGCCCCAGGTCCTTCCTGCCTGTGGGGGCCCCTGGGGCAGCTGTCTGTCCTGTCCGCGGCCCCACCCCTCCGGCTCCCTGGGCGTCCCAGCGTTCCCCAGCACAGGCGGCCCCTGCGCCCGCCCTTGCCCTCTCCCCGTCCGCGGGCCTGGGCCTCCCCCTGCGCCCCCGTCCCTAGGCGCCACTTGGCCCTGTGGCCCTGCATTCCTTCCTCTGCATCTCTCTCCTCTCCCCAGGCCTGCTTTTTCTTTTCTTCTTACCTTCCCTGGTTCCTCCAAAGCCAAGATGCTGTCTGCTAATCTATAATGAAAAGCCGTGGCTGTCACACGGCTGACTATGTGTGTATGTGGCACATTCTCCCCCCGCAGGCAGGAACCTAAACGGGGAAGCTGCCGGTAAGCTCAGGCTCGGGGTGACGTGCAGACGGCACCCCGGCTTCCCGCACACACAGCCTGGGCCCGCGGCCTCCGCGCCCCTGCCGCCCTTTCACGCCTCGGACCCCTGCATTCTCCGTGTCCTGCATTCTCCTCGTTCCTACACTGCCCAGGGACTGCTTCCACCGAAGTGACCAAGTAGTTCCCGACCGGGGAACACACAGGACGCATCTGGGACCTTGATGTCTCCAGAGTATTGGACGCCCCCCGCCATGCCCTTCTTCTGGGTGTTCCCACCGCGCGACCTCAGGCTCCTTTCTTAGCTGCCCCCCGTCTGCAGCTTCTGCCCTCGGCCTCTCCCCAGACTGCCTCGTGGCCCTCGGCCTCGTCACAGCCTCCCCCGCTCCCCCTCTTGTGTCATCTGACTTGCTGTGCGGACCTCCTCACTTACCTTCTTCTGAGACACAGAAGGCAAGGTCCTGTCTCGGAAGGTGGTTTTGAGGAAAGCCGTAGTCAGTGCAGGGGGAGAGACCCCGTGTCGGGTGCAGAGCGGGCTGGGGGCTCTGCGTCACCCCTGCACAAGCCCTCTGGCCACCTGCCCGCCGCCCCCCCTCTCCTGGCGGGCTCAGCTGCGGGCGTGCTGGCAGAGGGGTTGGGCCGTTGGCCTCGCCCAGCAGCGTGTCCTCGCCCAGCAATGCATCCTCGCCACAGGGCAAGAGAATGACTGAAACGGGGGCCCCACAGATGCCCAGCAGGAGGACAGGGAGGGTGCACGGGTAAGCAGGGGGCAGCTGATGCCCCTGGGCCGCATTAGGCTGAGGGTGGTCCCAGCTCCCCACGACACCTCTATTGCCCCCTGCACTAAGGGCTCCCTGCTCGGCACTCCTGCTCCTGGAAAGACTTCCGTTATCACATGTCACACATCCTGCATTCAAACTGCCTGTTTAAAAGGCTGTGCCCTGTACTAACACGGGAGTCCCAGAGCAGGACCTGTCACTCCTCTCCGTCACTCCAGCAGCCCCGGACAAGACTTGGCGAGGGTGGGAAAGCTGCTCAGCACCTGCTGGGTGGTAAGAAGCAGAGCAAGTTTCAATGTGTGCCTGACCACAGTGCACGAGCTCAGCCGCCACAGTCCAGCCTCCACCACACCGCAGTAGCTCCCAATATTTTGTATACAATCTTTAGATGCAAGGAGAATAACATTTGCACATACAGAGGGGTGTATGTGCTAAAGCTATGGCATTTTGTAAATGTTGATGAAATTTTACACTGTTTTCATCTTAATGAAGACAAGAAATGCCAAAGTCCTGTTAGTAAATTTGAATAAATTAAAGTTATTTAAAACGGGGTGATGCGATCTTCTATACATGTAATCAGGATGAAAAACTTGCCTTCTAGGGAGTTAAAGAAGCTTTAACAAATGTTATTTCATTAATGAGATACCTGAAAAACTCTTTGATGGTTAGCTCCTAGAGGGCAGGAATTAATCCTATGTATCTATGAACCAAAACAGACTTCATAAGGATGCACCATTCACCAAGAGAATCAAGAAGGCACTAAACACTGCTTTTGAGTAGATGCGGTAGCATTGGTCTTATTTTTATACTTTTAAAGTACAAATTATGGGGTTGGCTTTCCACTTTGCCTCCTATTTGACAAAAATGAGGAGGTCAGTTATTCTGTAAGAGAAGCTCAGGATTAAATTTCACTCACACAAAAAGGTTCTTTTTGGTAGTTCACAGACCATCTCCTACAATGGTGAGCATATCTTTCGAGCACAACTGTAGGATATTTAATGCTTATTTCCTTCAGTGTTGTGGATTTCAAGTAGAAATGATGGGGGGCACTTGTGACCGGGGTCACAATGTCACATGCTACCGCAGCCTGTAAAATCTGACATCTCTAACATCTTACATTAAATGCTAAGGAGCATATCCAACCGGCCTGATTTTCCAAATTCTTCTCTGCCTGCCTGGTTTTAAAAATCACGGACAGGTTTCAAGGTGTCCTGACCCCAAAGTAGGCAAAGAAAGGAGAGGGAACATGAGGAAGGAGTGGGCCTGCTGGAAATGCTGAGTCTCTAAAGGAACATTTATTTTGTGTTGTATGGAACAGAAGTAAGTCCCTAAATCCACATTCTATAATCCTTACTACTTCCACCTCAGGCAAAACTTACAAAATACCAGAAGGATGCCAAGGACCCAGTCCCCTATCCATTTAACTGGAAATACTTGATCACTTGGTAAAGCCTAAGGAATAGCCTCAAATATTTCCATCGGCTCCAATAAACCAGGATAACACTGCTAAGTCAGTGACGGTGTGAACTATGTCTATCTTCTTTTAAGGGGCCCATTAGCAAATCTAGTCACCCCTCCCATCCATGGTTAGATTCTCAATTGATTTATTATAAGCTGGGCCTGAGGATAGAGGCAAACGACTGAAGGTACTAGAAATGTCACTGGTGATTTCCTCTTCTTTCTAATTAAAGGCATTGTCCTGTACACAGGGAAGTGAGTTTTTCATCTCAAGTACACAGTGGGGAGAATCAAGCCTGAGAAAATTGTGATTGTTTTCATTACGTATGGTTAACACAGGCAGCATACGTGAGTGCGAAAGAAGAACAAAGAAAATGTATTTCCTCTCACAGAGGAGAGAAAAAAATGATACAGCAGTAAGATCTGTAATAAGTTGATATGTTGAATAAAATGGAAAAGGAACATACAGGCCCGTATTGAAGGAGAAGTCAGCCTGACACCAGAATGACACACCCAGCCAGGCTAGGCTGGGCTGCTCTGTTCTCTCAGGCCTCACTGAGGAAGATAGTAAGTAGTCATCTCTTTAAGGTTATGTAAGAGAAACACCAGCATTTTTTAAAAAGCCAGTTTTATAGCCAAAAAACTAAGGAATATTTATTAAAATATTTATGAGGAATTCATAAAATATTTAGAAAATGCAATGCAAAATTTAGGAATGCAGTACACTAACAATATATTATTAAATGGGCATATATATAAATGGGCAGAGTCCAAATGAATTTAGTTGAAAGGCAGGGGAGAATTTTCTCAGAGCAGATGTTTAACAACTAGCCAAGATTATTGAGGGAAACTGAGAAGTCTTCACAGAGGTATTTAAAATGACTGTTTCTTCTAAGTGCAAGTATCTCAAACTTAACTAATTCAACTTATTTGATTTTTCTATTCCTCTTTGTCCCCGACTTAGAAATTCAACAGCTTCCACTTGGGTGACGAAATGAGGGACCTCCCGTGGCAAGACAATGCAACGTTCCTCCCCATAGGCAAAGCTCTCAAAGGAGAACCTGTTAGGTCCTTCCCATAAAGGGACTGGAAACGCAGGTTGATATGTGGTGTTGGTAACGTGGGCCTCCCAGCCTCCTCCTGTCCCAGTAAAAGGGCAGCTGGGAAGGGTCTGCAGGAATCTGTGGGTGTGGATGGAACACAGGGGGCTGACAACTGCTACACCCAGGAGATGGGTCCCTGGGGCTGATTACACGCATCTCCCCCTTTTCCCATCATCAAAAGACTTAAAAAAAAACTGAAGACACAAAGAGTAAACTAAAATAATTAGCACCCCAAGTAATCAGTAAGAATAGGAGAGGAATGAGGAATGAAGGATTAGAATTATAGAGTAACTGCAGTTCACAGACTATTGTAGCTAATAACTAAATTTCGTCCCTCAAATATACACGCCAGCTCTTGCCTGGATATATATACCCACTGCTTACCAATCAGGATGGATTCACTGGGCTTTGACTTTGCCTGCCCTGTCTTTGATGAAATGATTTCCAGTCAAGCAGAGTCAAAGGAAAAGCAAAGGACCTGGATAAACCACAAAGCTTGCAATGCAACCCATGAATACCAAAAACTGACAACCTAAACGATGGAAGGTTTGGTTAAAAAAAAAGAGGTGTAATGGGATATTAATTTCCACCTTGTATTTTTACTCTACTTATCACTCAAAGTCATCAAAAGGCAATTACTTCCCAATACACTGCACTCTTTCTAGTAGGTGTTGAATAACGGAATGTTAATTAGCTCAACTGGCACCCTTGGCCCAGTCGTTCAAACACACATGGCCACAGCACCAAAGCTCGACTTTAACACTTATGCCACAATGCAAGTGTTTCCTGAGCCATCCCACCTAAGAGGCGTGTGCTACCTGATATCCAAAGAAGGCCGTCAGCCACGTAGCCAGCATGGCAGGAGAGGGACCGGTCAAAGGACTGCACGAAAGTCCATTTGTTCTTCTTGGGGCAATATCGCTCCACGGTGGGCAGCACCTGGCGCAGCTCGTTTCGGCCCCCGACCGCGTACAGATATTCATCCATGGCCCCCAGCACGAAATGCTCGCGGCAGTTTTTCATGGGCGCGATCTCGGCCCAGGAGTTGCTGCGGGGGTCGTAGCGGCACGCGGTCCGCACAGCGCAGGTCCGGCCCCGGGCGTGCTCCACCTCCCCGCCCGCCACGAACAGGAAGTCCCCCATGACTGCCACGCAGTGGTGGCTCCGGCCCACGGGCATGGGGGCCAGCTCACTCCAGTTGGCGACGGCCGCGATGAGCGCGTTCTCCTGATCCACGGGATTGAAGTAGCGAAGCTCCTTGACTTTACAGACCTCCCGCTTCTTCCCACCGATGATGTACAGCGTGTCCGACTGGAACCGCGGCTTGGTCCTGCGGGTCTGCCACACGGGCTGCGCGTAGATGCTCTGGTGGTATTCCAGGGCCTCCTGGACGAGGGCTGTTGCGGCCTCACTCGCCTGGACCAGGGGGTGGGACAGGGCGACTGTGTGGAGAGTAGCCACGTCCATGAGGCCGAAGCGGATGTGCTGCAGGAGCTCGTCCATGTGCTGCTGATGGCAGTTGCGCTCCACCCACCTCACGGCCAGCTGAAACACAGGGAGGGGGACATGAGACGGGAAGACAAGGCAGAGCCGGCGCCGGGTCCCCGGGCGGCCTTTCAGACGCTTAGCAAGACTCATTTCTTAACAATCAGTGCAGCATGAGAATGCTTTGGTGCTCAGCTGAGGAATTCTTTCCTGCATCCGCAGAGACGCAAACGAACTCAGGACATGGCCGCAGAGGTTAGCGACACAGACGGCGACTTAAGGTATCACTTAGGGTGACAAATAATCCCTTTCAAAGAGTGAGGACACTGTTGTGAGATAGCCCATTGCTGTTAAGTTTGATGCATAAAATGCCTGGTCCCACCCCCTGCAAGCCCCCACCCAGTAAATGCCAACAGTGTGCAGCGCCATCAACGCTCAGGCAGATGCCGACCCAGGAGCTTGGGTGCTGGATCAAATGAGTCATGTAAGAAAATACCTGAGGCCCCACGGTGCACCTGAAAGAAAACAGTATGACACTATAGAATGATTGAGAAAGAAAAATAACTTCTTTGCCTGTACCTTTGGTAGGTGTATCAGGGAAGCAAGTCAAGAATGATGGCAGCCTATCAATTTTATTTATTTTTTCTCAATTAGATTTCATCTTGAAGACAATTGTTGTTTGCACATGTAAGATGCTGTCAATTTAATAGAGCCATCTTCACAAAAACAAGATACAGAGGAGGTTAACTTTGTAGTATAGACGCAATTGCAGAACGTAGTCCTAATCTTCTTGTGTTGGTCCACATCTCTTTCAAGAAGGAAAGGAGTAAGAACTTCTGGCTAGAGGCAAACAGAATTTCTGAAAACTAATGCAGTGCATTAAGTCACAAATAACAAAACTGCATGAAAATTTAGAAAATACTATCAACAAAAAAAACCAATTCATGTTATGGAGCATCTGAGGTAGTTTAATTTAATGTGATTTATTTAAGTTCGGCAACCCTTCCCCCACACAGCATAAAGTAGTGGAGTATCTCCAGTCAACCCACCTGACATGAATTATTCTTAGCAGCACTTACATTAAACTGGTTCTCCTAGACAATATAAATGTGTATCTGAAGGAATTAGTATGAAAAAAAGTAAGAAATTAAAATACTGAATAATTTCGCTGTGTTTTACGTGCTTTCTGACCAACAGAATTGGGGTTCTGGGCTCGTCTAGGCAACCAGTGCATCCCACTGGGAAGATGTCCTGCAGAGAGAGGGAGAAGGAACTGTGGTGCGCTTGGCCCATCAGTCCTTGGCAAACGGGACTGGGTTTTCCTCCTGGAAAAAGATCACCAAGCTCTTTGAAACAATAGATGTTTCAGGCTTTCAGTTTTCTGTATCCATTTGACAAATGGCTCCAAAAGAGAAGGCGGATTTTGAGCTTCTGAATGAAGAGATTGTAGGAAGTGAATCCACATCCAACATGTACTGAATTGCTTCTCTTAATGAAGTACATGGTGGGAAAATGAAAAAAAAGGGTGTCGATGGGTGGCAGTTTACCTACGAATGCCAAGGAGGCAGACCCCACGGAGGACGGATGAGGGACACTCTCTAGCTCTTCTTCCAGAAACTGGCATTTAAAATATTTAAATAAGATGCAAATCTGATGAAAATTGTTTATCAGCGCATGGTAACATCAGTAATAATCAAAGATATTGCAGAAGAAAAGCATCACTCATCAATCGCCAGGTCCCTGCCCGAAGTGGAGAGTTCCCACATGCAGCATCCAGGTTATTTTCTACCCTAATTTTACAAATTTCAGGGGAGGGGGTTCCAATTTTTCCCTGGGGAGATAATTCAACAATTTAATACATGAGTTTTCATTTTATGCCCTCAGAGCTTCTAAAAGTTCTCAGGGATAAAGTCGACCCACTCAAGGTCATTGCTCATGCACCAGGTAAAATTTTCTGAAACTCAATCTTTGGTATTACTCCTAATTTAATCAAGTAGTTCCAGCTGACATTGCTCTCCTCTGTAACAAATTTCTCAGCATCCTTACATCCTCATATTTCTGCATCTTTCATATGGATATCACTGGAGAAATATTAGATAAAAAATCCATATCTCCATAGCCTCTTTTATAGCACAGCGCTGTCCATTTAATTAGTTTTCTCTTTCCTCATAAATCAGTTCTTCCTAGGCTGTAATCAATCTTCTAGCCCATCTCTTAACAGTCTCTGGCTTATCTTCCTACAAACGGTATCACTTACTGCATGAAAAGTACACAAGCTACAATTAGGCTCTGCATTTAGGAAAATCTCTAACGAATCAAACTGGCAGGAGAATACTGAGCACTGGGACCTATCACTGATCAATTTCTGGCTTTCTGTCTCCTACCACCCCTGCACCTCATGTCTCATAATGCTTTCCTTGGTCACTTTCCCCAAATACTATGTGTTACAGAATATTTTCTTTATATACCTTTAGTTTGTATTTTTCTGGAATAATTTTTGTCTCTTGTGTTTTTGCCAATATTTCTAACATCTCACAAATTCCATACAGTTGTCACACCTTTATCTTTTATAACTATTTTCAGACTACGCAAGTCATTCATTCTTGTTGGATTTATCTTTTCTCCAGATCGGTAAATGTAATGAACTATTCTGCCACCAACTTGAAACCAATGTCACCTAGATACAACGTTATTTATAGATTCAAATCCAATGCTTCTCAAGCGAAACATGTGCACAAATTACCTGGGGTTTCTGATCCAAATGCAGGTCCTGATCCTATAGGTGTGTGGAGAGGGTTGGGAGTCTGCATTTCTAACAATCTCCCAGGTGATACACATGCCGCTGATCCATGGACCACACTTGGAGGAAGGTTTTACATAGATCCCCACTCGTGAAACAGGAAAATGCTGCTTTATTAGAGTAAATCTGTTGTTTCAAATTTAAGGAGGTTTAAATCAAATGAAGTCTAAATAGGATGTTTTAGTGAAGACATAAAACACCTGTAGCTTAATATTAGGGGTAAGACAGCATATATGCTATTTATTAAGATACGGGTAAGATCATACTGTGGGTAAGACAGCGTTTTGAGACCTGGGTTCTATACGTTCTATGAATCAACAGCTGATTCCAACAGCATAAAGTAAATCATGTAAACACTGTCCAGTTTTGCTTTCACAATTATGAATAAATGTAAAAGTGTTATTGTACTGTTTTTACTTTTGTGAAAATATAGAAGAGGAAAAACCACTGGAACCATGGATAACTCTTTGTTTATGCAAATAATAAAAGAAATGGCAAAGGAAATTCAAAGTAATGGGTTACTTCAAAACCACTTCTATACTTTGAACCCTGCCAGGGCATCATTCACTGCCATGCTGAATTAAGGGCACAGTGGGGAGGGATCCTGGGTCCCATTTGAGGGATTTAGAAAACAGAATACGCAGAAGGCTGATTCATCACTGGGGCATCATAGAACCCAAAGATCCCAGTTAGTTTTGTAGTTTATTTTGGGGGGTATGTTTGCAACGGTTATGCTGGGAACTAGGGGCTGTTAATGACACCACTTGAGAAAGCATAACTCAGGGAGGGCTGAAACCTTATTTTGTCTTATTGATTCTGGCATACTGACATCCCCATCACCCTGAAGTCTAGAATGTTTTAATTGGGAGGAAAATGGAGCACACAATCAAAGTCTTATTTCCCATTTTTCTGGTGACTGAGCCAGAAAGAGTGGATAAGAAATGAACAGTGCAGTTTGGGAAGGTGCAGCAGAGTACTTAGGAAATGTGGTCCATAGGCAAGATGTTTCCTAAACCACCTAAAACACAGGGGACTGTCATCTCTACAGACCACAGATCTCCCAAGTACCCTGCCTGGCCTTCTCTAGTTCACGTTACCCTGATGGAGAATTCTTCCTTCCTCAAAGGAACATATTGCTACAGTTTATTCCAGCAGCAACTCATCTCATCCTCAGATCCTTGACAAGAACAGTGCCTGGCACACAATGGGCTATAAATGTTTGCTGCTAAATGGAAAATTCTTTATAACCCTTCTTAGGCTATTTTTCATACGTCTCTTGAACAAACAATATTAATTCCTTTATATATTTAACTATCACAGGCTTCGGTTTCCTACTTTTTCATCTTTGTGGCTTTCCTATAAAGCCCTTAAAAGCTTTCAAAACTCCTCAAAGCAGACGCAGTGGGTGGACTTCCAAATATAAGGCCCTTGGATTTTCCCCATCACGTGAGTGGTGCTGACCACGTCTCTGAGATTCTTGGCAATGCAATGAATATCACGGGCTTTTAAGCCCCCATATAAATAAGCTATTAGGGCAAGAAGAAACTTTAGGGTCCATTTGGTTCAAGCTTCTCAATTTTACCAACGGAAATCAAATCCAGACAAGTTACCTCTCTTATCCCAAGTCAGGGAACTACTTAGTAGAAAACCTGGAACTAAAACCCCATGTTTTAAATTATACAATGCATTTTCCTGTCATATCACATCATTGTTATTTTTCCATCAATAATAATTTTATAATAGAATCCAGGCAAATGTGCTCAAGACTGAACATAACTTTCATCTTCTCTAAATTATTCTATAAGTATTCTTTGCTTCAGATAGATTGACTTCCAATAAGTCTCACTGATGGATTACTTCAACATTAAAAAGCATATATTTAGTGCTTTTTAAAAATACTCTTAATGTTTTTAAAGAATTTGTCATTAAAGAACATTTAGGGTGAAGGGTATCCTTTGAGTCATGAATTATTGTTTTACTTTTTATGGGAATATATGTTGTAATTCTAGGCCATACCCTGTTAACTAAATGTGGCTGAAAAATATATGAGAAGGATTGTCCCTTCCCTCTAGTTTTGTCAGTTTCTCCCCCACCCCCCTCCAATGGCTGCTCTATAGAGCAGAAGATATGAGATATATGTGTATATATAATCCTAAACATAATGGTATATAATCCCAAATTCTACAGATGTTGCTCTAATTCAATTAAAATACATAATTTAATCATACATATTTTAGAAATGCATCAATTACAAGAACAT